AGGAAGAACACAACTCACAAGGGGTGGCCGATAAGAGTAGGTGAAAAAGCCCCCTTTCCCGGAGAAATCGTTAGCTGGTCCTCACGAGTCTTCATCTCCGGAAGTGGCTGAGGCCATTTTTCTGTCTTTTCCTGGAGAGGAGAGGATAAGACAAGGGGGGGGGAGTTTCCTGGGGTGCCCCAGCTAACACTCAGATGTGAGAGGGGAGGAAGAACACAACCCACAAGGGGTGGCCGATAAGAGTAGGCGAAAAAGCCCCCTTTCCCGGAGAAATCGTTAGGACCAGCGGTGGATATTTACGAAGCTGAGGGAGGCAGAGGGAAGGGTGGCCAGAGAGTGGGGTGGCCGGCTACAGCTCTGGTGGCAGACGGCCCACAGCATAGGCGGTTGAAACCGGGAGGCTGGGGGGGGCAACTTTGGAAGCTCCAGGGGACAGTTTCCCACCCCCAGGATCCATTGGGAGCAGAACCAGACCCTCAAATTAGCAAGCAAGCAAGCAGGCAGGCAGGTAAGGAAATCAAAACCGGATGCCCACGCCCACCTTTCTTTTTGTGGAAGGGGTTGCTGGGGCCCATCGATGCCCCTGCCACCATGCCAAGTTAGGTGTTTTTGCAGCTTGGTGAGGGGTGGTGGAGGGCGACCCGAGGGCCACAGAAATGGCCCATTGGGGGGGCTGCCCTTTGCCCACCTCCGTCTGACAAGGCCATAGGCAGGGGGCAGGTGCCGGCCAAGGTCTCTTGCGCTGGGCAGGGATCCTGCCCCTCTCTCCCCACCGGGCACCTTCCTGGGTGCTAGAGGCCGGAGAAATGTGGAAATGGGCATGAAAACTGGAGCCCCGCTGGCTGAGGGCGTTCTGGGAGTTGCAGTCCAAAAAAAGAAAACCACCCGCAAAACATTTTCTCCTAGTTCTGGTGGGAGTGAATGGAGGGCTGGATGGAGGAAAGGTGGGGTGAGGGCAGAAATGGGTGGATTTTTGTGAGCCAGGAGCAGGAATGGAGACCGGCAAGAGCCGGGAGGAGGGTTTCTTCTGCTGGCGAGGCTTGTGGGGCGGGTTGCTCGGAGCCCGAGAGCAAGATCCGGTCAAGAGCCACTGAGCCAGGGTGCGGCCTTCCTTTTGCGGCTCCGAACCACTGCGGAGCCTCTTGGGGCCACAGGGAGTGGGGGAGGCAGGTGGCCAAGGGGGTGGGCGGTCTCCCCGGGTTTGTGCAAGAACAAGGTCTGGGAGCTGCGAGGCTGGTGCTCCCCTCCCACCCAAATGGCACAAAAATGGGCCTGGTTTGGGCATGTCAAAAAGACAGAGGGAGGGGAGGGGACAGACCCATTGTGGGGGGCGGACACGGTCAGGGGCCCACGATGCCATTCGGACAACACACGCACACAAATGACTTTCCAGGGAAGCAGCGAAGCCTGCGTCCACGTTTCCTTTGTCCCCGTAGAAGCACCACCCTGCGGATCCGTAAATATATGGAACAGTTTTCACCCAATAAGAGGCATTTGGAGCAGCGTGCGCCGTATCTGCCGTAATAGCCATGGAAAGGGCAGCGAGGAGGCTGATGGGGTTGTGAAGCTGCCTCTTCTTCTTCCCCCCCCCCGCAAAGGACCCTATTGGGGCAAAGACACCTCCTTGGGGTTCATTGGGGTCTTCCAGCTCTGGTCTGTAGCCTAGAAAGGCTGTTTGTTTGTTTGTTCAGTCGTTTAGTCGTGTCCGACTCTTCGTGACCCCATGGACCAGAGCACGCCAGGCCCTCCTATCTTCCGCCGCCTCCCGGAGTTGAGTCAAATTCATGTTGGTTGCTTCAATGACATTGTCCATCTATCTCATCCTCGGTTGTCCCCTTCTCCTCTTGCCTTCACACTTTCCCAACATCAAAGTCTTTTCCAAGGAATCTTCTCTTCTCATGAGATGGCCAAAGTACTGGAGCCTCAGCTTCAGGATCTGTCCTTCCAATGAGCACTCGGGGTTGATTTCCTTTAGAATGGATAGGTTTGTTCTCCTTGCAGTCCAGGGGATTCTCAGGAGCCTCCTCCAGCACCACAATTCAAAGGCATCAATTCTTCGGCGGGCTGCTTTCTTTATGGTCCAGCTCTCACATCCATACATCACGACAGGAAAAACCATAGCTTTGACTATGCGGACTTTTGTTGGCAAGGTGATGTCTCTGCTTTTTAAGATGCTGTCAAGGTTTGTCATTGTTTGTCATTGTCAGAAAGGCTGACTTCCAGGCAATCCAGTTGCTCTTGTGACCTGGCCGGGGGCGGGGGCACAATACTTCCTTGGGCTTTCTATCCCTTTGAAGAGGGGTTAAGTGGGTGGCTCGTTCTTTCTCGCCACTTCATATCTCTGGCATTCTCTGCTGTTCCTTCAAGATTCCCAGAAAAGCCACAATTCTTTCTGTCCTGCCCCATGCAAAACAGTGTCTAAGCCAGCCAGTGCATTATCACATCAAGGTGAAGGTTAGATGATTATGTATTTCCCCCATGGAGACACGATCCCCCCACCCACACAGAGGGCTTTCCCAGACAAAGCATTGGTATCTCTCAGTTTTGCTTCCTTTTCTGTTGCTCGCTAGCAGAATTTCCTGGGATTTACTGGAAGCCACCTCCAGCCAGAGATATATTTAGCACTTGCCTGCTTCCCCAATTCTATGCTGTCCTCATCCTGTGTGGTTGCCAACATCTAGCAAACAACCAATATTGCTTAGGGAAAGGGAAAGGTTCCCCTTGACATTTAGTCCAGTCGTGTCCAACTCTAGGGCACGGAGCTCATCCCCGTCTCCAAGCTGTAGAGCCAGTGTTTGTCCAAAGACAGTTTCCGTGGTCACGTGGCCAGCGTGACTAGGCACAGAATGCCATGACCTTCCCACCAAGGTGGTCCCTATTTATCTAATTGCATTTTTACATGCTTTCAAACTGCTAGGTTGGCAGGAGTTGGGACAAGCGAGGGGAGCTCACTCCATCGCCTGGATTCGATCTTACGACGGCTGGTCTTCTGACCTTGCAGCACAGAGGCTTCTGCGGTTTAACCCGCAGCGCCACCACATCCCTAATATTGCTTAGGGGGAGGGGTTCATCTGTTCTGTATCTTAACAGAAGATAATGATTTTTTTTTGAAAAACCTAACATTGGGAAATGCTGTAGCACTGAATTCTGCCTCTTGACACAAAGGGGTGCCAAAAAAGAATAGATGGATGGATGGATGGATGGTTTCAACATGATGTAAAAAGGTCCATGAGGTCAGGAGTAGGGGTTGTGGGGGGGGGAAGGGGAGAGAATATGGAACAAAATAGGAGGGATGCCCTCTGGACGTCAGGGAAACGGTGGTAGAAAAGGGGCCACCTGGACGAACCCCCACACCTATCATTTCCCTGCCTCATGAGTTGGGGGACACTGACCTGGCAGGGGCCATCACCTGTCCTCTCCTGGTCTTTTCTCTCACAGGGTAGTTTGGCCACCCTCTCTCTCCTGTTGGAGAGTGACGGGGTGGGCGAAGCTTTTTGACAACGAAGGCCAAACATCTCTGTCCTCTGAAACTCCTGGGATGGTGACGGGAGCCGAAAGGAAACCTCTGAGGAAGAGATAGCCAGTATTCAGAAACACCCTGGATGTGGGATCCCCCACCCTCACCCCACCCTCACGCATCCTCAGGCGGAAGACCAAAAGAGCAGGCTCTGCCAACAGCCGGCTCCGGCCATGTTTCCTTCCCCAGGATCCTGGGTTCAGGAGCAGAGGGGCACCACAGGGGTTGGCCTATGGCCCACGGGGGGTTGGCCCCAGCCCTGAGCTTTCTGTGTTTTTAAGCTTTGGCTGCCCGTCTCTGTGGGGATGAAAAGCCCCCGGGGTGCACCAGCTGGGCTGGAGGAAGGCAAAGACGAGAGCAGCCGAGAAGCTCCCAGGGAACAGGAGACGGGGCCGTTCTAGCATCCTGAAGACGACCGGACTGCCGTTTACAAGAGCAGAAGACACACAGAGAGAGAGAGAGAGAGAGAGTGCCAAGGAAGCTTCAACTCTTCTGGTTAGTCTCCTCCAGTCTGCTCCCCCGACACACACGTGGGCCCACTGGTTAACCCCTGTGGTGTCCCTCCGTTTCTGAGCCCATGCTCCTGGGAGGAAGGCACACGGGGTGTCTGAAGCATGGGCCATCTAGTTGTCTGGCTTGAAACATCTTATTTAAAAAAAAGCTCTGTTGACGCTAAGCCTTCCAAGGGTGTTGAGACTGAGTCAGTAAAGGCCCTACTCCTGGGTCCACTTGTGACAGTCAACAAGGAGTGGTCCCAGAGGTTGCCCACACAAGATGCCATGTCCTAATAACAGTGGTGCCCAACAGACATTCTTCCCGGTTTCATAAAGCACTGTCCCTCTCAACGTACCCCCAAAAGAAGCCATTTTAAAGTAGACTTTGTCTAGCGGGGCGGGGCATAAGTCTAAATAAGGTAAAGTAAATAAAGTAAACCATTTTAAACCCACTTCCTCAGCTGTCCATCAAGTGCACTCCCCAGATCTCCCCATCTAATTAGTCCAGCTCGGGTAGACCCTTTGCCCACAAACCTCCCACACAAGAAGCATGGAGCGGCTGTCTTCTGTCAGGGGTGAGGCAGGACACCACGGCCTCCCCATTAAAATGCGGGTCCTGTGGCCACCAGCCAGCTGGTAGGGGGAAGTCCACCTCTGTGAAAGTGAAGCAGTCACATATAACTGCCACTAGCAGAGGTTATGGGGGCCCCTCCATGCAGGCCCCACCCACCTCTGAATGACCAGCGACGGTACAAGATGGCTACCTGCATCCGTTTCTCTGGCCCTAGAATGTTGCGCCAACGTTCCGAGGCTCTATGGCAGCCAAGAGCAGGTGGAAGGCAGGCCGAAGCCTGCTGGAGAGAAGACTTTATGAACCGGTTTGGGAGGGAGGGGGACGGAGCCCCCTCGGGGGGTTCTGCAAATGAGTTAGCTGGCTTTGTGTTACCATCTTAGAAGGGCAGATCTCGAAGGGACCTCCTGAAGATCACGGAGGTCCAGCCCTTTGTCCTGGAGGAATCGAACCCGGCTCCACACCCAGAGACCTCAACGGCGGAGCTATCCAGCAGTTCAGCACAGATCTTTTGGGAAGGAAGCACAGGGTCTGTTTGCTAAGGTGAAACCACAGATCTGAATTACGAAGGGTTAACTGCTGAAGGAAGAACAGAGGGCTCTAAATGCCCTTGGAGGTGGACACGGATCCACCTCCTTAAAACCCCTCCTCCTTTGCAGGACGTTGCCCTAAGCCACGTTCCGTGTCTTCCCCAGAAGGCCTCGAATGCTGGCCAGCTCTGGTGCCGGTGCAGAGATGGGCTCAGGGGTTTGTTACATAACAGCACTGATGTTACCTGTCTGTCATGGGTTTGGAGGGAAAGTTCCATCCTATGGGGAGTGGAAGGCGGGACATCAGGAGGAGGGGCTGTACTGTATAAATATGTGATGCCTGTGTGGTGAAGGGAGATGCTGAGACAGACTGTGAGACACTGGGTTGGGACGAAGCAGCAGCTGGGGAAGAAGAAGCTGTTGTGGGAGTCTGGGTGTCTGACAGGGTACTACTGTGTGTCAGAGTACCAGCCTGAAAGGTTCAGGGGTCTGTTGGTTAGCCAGAACTGATGGGTTCAGGGTCTGTGCTTTAAGTTAAAGGTTCTAGGTGAACCAAACTGTATGCTTGTGTGTGTGAGAATAAGCCACGTTACTTTATTTTATTCACCTGATTGTTTTATTTACCCTGTTTGTATTTAAAATAAACCTTATTCTTTTGTTGTTTAAAAATCCATCCCTGGTCTGTGTGACTTATTATAGGGAATGGTTGGTGGCAGCTTAGTAACTGTGTGATAGATCCCAGTAGGTCTGGGTTTGTCACAGGGTTGTGTGCAGGGGGAAGGGGCTAAGTTCCTTGGCACAACTCTTTCCCCCCCCACCCGCCGCTTCTGAGCTGCTCTTGAGTCCAGCCTCTCCCCAGGGATCTATAACAGCTACTGTGTTTATCCAAAATACGAGCAAGCACTGCTTAACGGCATTTAACTGAAGAACAACTTTCCAGTCTGCGGTGTGTTCAGCATTTTATGGCCAAACACATCATGCAGCCTTCCGCATTAATCCACCACCTGCTCTTCTGTTGTTAATAAAACAATACAGTTCCTCGAGGAGGGCAGGCATCAAAGAAAGCGGGATGCTTGCTTAACCGTCTCTCTCCCGGCCGTTTTAACTCTTCTTAATTCTTACCTTCCTTTCCACTTTTTCAAGAACTATACACTGCATATATTCATATATTCCTTAGCACTCCTTCCCTCCCATCCCCATTCCCTGCAAGCAGAGGAATATCCAAATTCTCATGAGGCTTTCCTGAGGAAATGATAGTCATAGTCCAAATATACGATAAATGAATAAATAAATCCTTTATGCATTGGGGAGTTGCTTTGCCACTTTTAATAGTTCCTTGCCATTGGCTTCTCCCTCCCACAAGAGAAATATTATATGTACTGATAAGACAGATGAGTGGAGAAGATCAAAGCTGGAGAGGATTGCGTGTCGCATGTTGGCCAAAGAGCTACACAGGGTTGTGGGGGATCTGTGCATGAGCAATGGGAACACACACCAGCTCTCATTCATTCATTCATTCATTCATGTGTGTGTGTTGGGCCCCCCTCCATGCACAGGTGCAAGGCGCATGAGATCCCCTTTCTGCTGAGTTTGTGGGGGTCTTGGGAGGAGCCCACCTTTAAAGCCACCCCTCACACACCAAGGGAATTTTCTCCTCTTTTAGCGCCCATTTCCCTGAGCTTCCTCTCCTCATCTGCAGAGCTGGGAAAGCTTAGCCATGCCCTGGGACTTCAGCAGGCGGCCTGGGACCCGGCCATCCAAACATTGGCAGTTGCCGCAAGACCAGAGGCAACAGAGGGGCAGATCCTCACCGTGACAAGGTGGTGGAAGGAACAAGCAAGGGTTGTGAGAGACAGGCAGACATAGCACACTCACACAGGTAAGGGCCTCTCAGGTCTTAAGAGGCTACTCCATCCCTGCCCTGCAATCCTGATCGAAACTGATCCTTCTCCCTGGCTGGGAGGAATGGGAATGGCCGGTGAACCACCACGCCCCTGGAAGCCCCATTTAGAGGCTCAGGAGAGGCCACATGCAGCCCCGGGGGGGGGTGAGCAACGGGCCCTGCCCCGATCCAAGTGAGACTTGGGGCTCATCTATCTGGATAAGATTTGCATTGATGAGCAGAAGCTGCCTTGAGCTCCATGGCAGGGGTCCTTCTTCATTTATGCAAAAGAAACAAGAATTGGGTGCAAGACGCACAGGAGGAGAAAGTGTGTGTGTGTGTGGGGGGGAAGCTTGTGAGTTGGCTGCAGCAAAACAAGCCAACACACAACATGAAGTGCCTTCCAATAATATTAAAACTATAATTCCCTAAAAGGCTACGCAGACCGGAAGCAGAAGAGAAAGATGGTTTCGGACAGTTGCACATTAAATAAGAGTTTGGGCAAGATCAGACTCTGGCTGGCCCTTTTGAATCGCTCTGCTGGCCCTTGAATCATACAAAGGCTCTCCTACGTCGGGCCGGTCATGAGAAGACAGGAGCACTAAGGAAAGAGGAAGGCAGTAGGAAAAGAGGGAGACCAAACAGGAGATGGATCGACTCCATAAAGGAAGGCCCCAGCCTTGGATTTGCAAGAGCTGAGCAGAGTTGTCGAAGGCAGGAGCTTTTGGAAGGCCCTGGTTCATAAGTCAGAATTGCCTTGATGGTCCATGATGACGATTATCGATTCATAGGGCTGCTGGAAGTGGAAAGGGAGCTGGCAGCACAGAACACTCCGCTGGTCTTCCTATGATTATCAGCTGGCTTGTATTTGGGTCTATAAAAAATAAAAATCCGGCCAACACAGTTGCCTGCAAGCCTTGGGAAACCTGGCCGAACCTTAAAGGCATGACCGTTCCAGGAGGTCCCTTTCAGGTCACATCGCGCCTGATGCTCAGCCGGGAAGATAGATGCCAGGCGCCAAGAGGGACCGTGTGGAGGGTGGGTGAGTGGGAGGGCTTCCTCTGACTTTCCGCCAGAGGGCAGGCGGCTCCTTCCGAGAGAGAGAGAGAGAAACCGAGGCCTGGGACGTGTTCTCAGGAGGACCTCAAAGGGACTGAAAGGGAAAGGTCAGGCCAGCCGCTGCCTCGTTTTCCCGCCCCCCCGTCCCCCCCCCAATGGCAGCCCTGCAGGGAGGCTCCTTTCACCAGCCAAGGCTGCTGTGATTCCTGGCCTTCGTTATGACGGCACACGAGAGCTGGGCAGAGGGGGGGGCAGTTTCCCAGCCCACTTCAGGCACCTTTGGGGCCAAGAGGGAGCTGGGCCGACCCTTCGGCCTGCACGCCCGGCCTCTGTTCTGTCCAGGGGTCAGGCTGCTGACCATTGTTGTGGTTCCTGTGGTGGTTGTGCAATTTGCAGCCAGTTTTCCATCCAGGCAGTGGATCCTTTGCTTGGCCAGTGATGTCGGTGATCATGCAGGAGAGCCCTCAGAGCACCCGCAGGTTTTCATCTGCAAGTGCAAAGAAAATATCACACACACACACACACACACACACACACAAACATTCATGGCGACATTAGTGATGACGACAACAACAGCATGCTGTCAAATCAACTTCTGGCGACCTTTTTTCCAAAGCTTGCCCGGTGGGGAGTGCTCAGAACTGGTCCGCCCTTCCCTTCCTCTGCAGGGGTCCTGGGACAGTGTGCAGCTGGCCCAAGGCCACCCAGGCTGGCTCTTTCTTCTCCCAGGAGACACCGTGGGAGAGAACGGAACGTCCCGCCTGTGGCTCCACAGCCAGAAACCAAAACCACTGAGCTACCCAGCCAGCTGCAGAGTCATTGGGCAATACAAATGGTCATTTGGTGAACAGTCAAGTAAAAGAAACCCCAAAACATTTGGGTAGCCCCTGCATTGTTCATTTCTGTCCTGTGGTCCCTCCTCTTGTAGCTAGCTAGAGTCATGTCTGCCTTTCTGCTTGTAGATCACATTTTCCTGCATTGACTTCCCATCGTCCAGGAAAACGCACAAGAACAGGAGAGTCACAAAACGAAGAGCCGATGGTCCGGCTGCTGCAGCAGGAATCAAATCAGGGAAACGTTGATGCAATTTCAAACCAGAGGCCTTCACTAAATCAGACAGGATTTAAGGGTGAGTAAACATACGAGATCTGAGTGGATGTAGCATAACTGGGTATGCTACATCCACCCATTTATGCTACATCCACTCAGATCTGGTATGTTTATGTCCGACATAAACATACGAGATATGTCCAAGTAAACATGTCTAGGAGCCTTGCTTTGTGAAAACAGTCACGTTGTGTGGTTCTCCTTGATGGTGATCGTCCAAATACAGCCGCTTTGAAGGCTGGGGCCTCCGGCTCACATCTTTGAGCCCTCGGACAGGCAAGGGCCCCCAGTTTTATCCTCACTGAACTGCAGTGCAAAGCTGGATCAGTGGATTTCTAGCTGCCATTCGCCTACAAAGGCCAGCCTTATCCAGAGTGACCACTGTGTGGATCTGTTTCATCAAAACACACACAAATACACACATGCATACACACACACAAACCCCACAGAGTTCTGTGGCACCCTAAACTTTTTATCTGGCATAAGATTTCCTGGACTCCGTCTGAAGGCGTGGGCTGCCCTCCACACAAGCTGAGGCCACGAAGAACTTTTACCTTCAAGGAGCCACCAGTTACTTTTGCTGCGGACAGGCAGCCCACCTGCCCGCTTGCACGCACACACGCACACATGTGCAGACACAGCCAGAAAGGGGG